GAATTGCTGTGCCACCAGGACCTGTCACATTCTCAATATTAAATAAGAATTCATCGAATTCTTATTATTTAATTCCCCTAATTAAGATATTCCTTATCTGGTTTCTGGCAATGATATCCAGAATACGGGACTAAGATTAGTAATTTTCATTAAATCAAGAGTAAAGGAAAAAAAAGGACCAGCACTATGGAGCACCATAATAGGCACTACAAGATAAATAATCACAATTAGTCTAACAATTTTATGAGATCTATCACCCTCGTTCCTACATTCTAATCATTAATTTCTGTTTAAAAATGTTCCTCTTCCTCTGTGTTTCTAAATCTGAGGGCTCAGACTTAGTTGCCATATCTGTTAGTCTACTCTAAGTGTGCTCTATTATACATAGGGTTTTAGAAGCCTTGTTATATTTTGCAAGTGGATGGCCAATCCTTCTTCCTAGTCTGTCTTAATTTGGATACTTAGTTTTAGAACAGTATTTGTCAGACATTTTACCAAAAGGAGCAGATGAAAGACACTTCCCTTTCAGAAATAACCCAGTGTCCCCCCCACATTGGTGCATGTGTCTTGACCCTTCCCTTTCTCCCATTCCCTGCTACATCAGCATCCCTCGCATGTACGCCTGCCAGCTCCAGCACCTCCCTCCCCCAGCTACCCCTTGATAAGGTGGCTTAGGCCACAAGTCACGTCAGGGATATCTTGCACCATGCACTGCTGCTGGTCTCTCATGTTGATGGCTGCCTTGCATTTAGGAGGATGTAAGTCCAAATTTCATGTACCAGGTTCAGGGAAAGAGGTTTGTCTGAGGTAGTACTGAGGAAAGGTTCTTACCCCTGAACTTTTGCTCCACACTGTTGTTTTGTGACTTAATGACTCTGCTCTTCCTTCTGTACTACACTCCTGTCACAATATGGTAGTTTCCAAGGTGAGGGCTAGGTCTCCTCTAGATCTGGTATGCTGGCCCGACAAAGACCTGGGACTGAATGTCCTGCCTTGGAAGCCTGATTAGCTGGTGGAATTCTGGGAGGAAGGGCATTGCCTGATCAAGAAGATAAAAAAAGCAACTATGTCAGTCTAGAGATTAAGGTGTGCCTGATCTAGGCCATGGTCTTCACAATTACCTGCTATGCATTAGAAATCTCGGCAATGACAAAGGATGACAGAGGAAGAATCGAAGCCTTTGAGTTGTGGTGCTGGAGAAGAATCCTTAACATACCATGAACTGGCAAGAAAACAAACAGGTGTAAAACTGAGTTTCTCCTTGGAGGCTAGGAATCTGAAACTCCATCTCATGTACTTTGTGCATGTGGCCAGGAAGGACCGGTCCTTGAAAAAAGTCATGATGTTCAAAAAAGATGGAGGGACACCAGAGGAGAGGAAGACTCCTTATGAGATGGATTAACACAGTAACTGGGGCAATGGGGGCAGGTGTGTCGGAGTCAGTGGAACTAGCTCAGGACAGGGAAGGCTTCAGAGTTGTACATAGGATCACTATGGGTTGCAGACAATTCCATGGCACATAACAAAAACATCACCCTCATCTTACAGACACAGGAACCAAGCATAGGGAGGAAGAAATGACTGATGATGATAACGGTGGTTAGTTAATTCTTTCTTGGCCATAAGCTATTAAGGGTGGAACTGCTGGGAGTTGAACCTTTATTTGTCTGACTGCAGAACCAAGCTTTTTCCTCTGTACTATAGGAATTCTCAGCAAAGGTGCAAGATTTAACTCAGTTGTACAAAAATACCCATAAAATGCATTAAACTGGAGACACAAAGATGTGTTAAGAGTTCATAAAATAAATCACCAAAACCTCATGCAAAGTGTCACATCAAGTAAGATCTAATGTCATTACGTACTGTCAAGTCAACCATGATTCACAGCAACCCTATGAACAATGGTTATCAAATCTGCCCTATCCTGTGCCTTCCTTACCTTCTCTGACACACTTGAACCCATTACTACAGTCTCAGTCTTGTTGAGGGTCTTCCTCCCTTACCCTGACCCTCAACTTTCCAAATATGATGTCCTTCTCCTCTGATTGGTCCATCCTAACACATGCCCTAAGGCTAGGAGATGCAGTTTCACCATCCTTGTTTCCAAGAAACACTCTGGTTTCACTTTTTCCAAGACAGACCTGTTAGTTATCCTGGCAGTCTAAGGAATAGTCAGCACTCTTCTCCATCACCACAACTCAAAGGCATCACATTTTCTTCTGCTGTCCTTAGAAACTGTCCACCTTTCAGATGGATGATGTCCTTTTCCAAGGACTAGCCCCTTCTGACAATATACCTCAATCATATGCAATGAGGTTTCACTATTCTTGCCTCTAACGAACATCCTAGTTGCAGCTCCTCTAAGACAGTCCATGAGATATTCAGTACTTCTCTCCAACACCACAACTCCTAGATTCTTTTTGTCATCCTTTGTCATTATCCATCTTTCAGATGCATAGCAAGGAACTGAGACGACCATAGCTTGGATCAGACACACCTTAGTCTCTAGAGTGACTTTACTTTGCCCAGCTATCAGATGTATATGAAATAGTAGCATATAGGAGGAGCTAAAGGCAAACACTGATATAGGTAGAAAAGATCATTGTTGTTATGTGCCGTCGAGTCGCTTGCGACTCACAGCGACCCTATGTACAAAAGCCCTAAACTGTACTCTATCCTGTGCCAATCGCACTGCCTCCGAAAGAACATTACATTAAAAAGAAAAAACAAACACCCTAGAACGTACTCAGTATGGCTAGAGTTGGGAGCAGGACAATGGAGTAAAGAGATAACAAGTGAGAAAGATCAGAGATGGGGCTATGCCAGTACCCATTCATTTCACTCATTCCTTATGTTGAAATCCTGCTATGGATTAGAGACTAGCTCTGACACAAGCACTGTGATGATGAATGAGATAGAGTCTTTAGGTTAAGGAACTTAGAGCCTAAGAAGACAGGCAAGGAGACAAGAACAATATACACAGATCTATAACACAGATGTCTTCAATGGGTGCCCCTAAACAGTTCCTCAGTTCCTAGACAGGAAGGTGAGTCAGTCAGGCTAGCCTAGGTACTGCACTGTAAACTGTTTTATTTACCCATAAACGATGCTTGCCAGCATGATGTCTTTTTTCCCAAAGACTGGTCCTTCCTGACAACATGCCTAAAGTATACTTAATTTATAATCTCCAAATACCATTCCCTACAAAAAGAAACCAGAATTCATTGGCAGAATAGCTGCTTTCAGGTTAGGGGCTGGATATATACAGAGATTTTGAGATGTGATTAAATAAAAGATCTTAAAATGGAGAGTGTATCCTGGACTATCTGATCTCAATGGCAAGGTCCTTATAATGGAAAGTAGGAGTCAAAGAATGAAAGTGGGAGTCAAAGAAGGAAATGTGACTGTGGCTGGAAGCAGAGGCCAGAGAGGTGAGGATGCTACACTGCAAGATGAAGGAAGAAAGTGGTAAGTTTTGCTGCTAAGGTTGGAGGCTGAATTCCATCCAGAGGCCGTGGTGATTCATGTATGGAAAATGAACTATTAAAAACTCAATGGACCCCTGAGATGGGGACCCTTTACGGAGCTTTCAAGCCTGGAACCAAATTCAATTTTGGGATTGCCTTTTAGTCCAACAACAGAAAGGCCTATCAAGAGAGCAGTAACCCTTGTGTGGAACACACTCCTTAGACATATGAGACTGAATGGGCGGCATGTGCCCCAAAACAAAGCTTAGAAGGCAGGAAACCTGAGACCTGAATGGGTAAAGGGAACCCTGGGAGTAAATGAGAAGAGTACTAAAGAACTGCAAGCAATGTCAAGAAGCAAAATGGGTATAAATTGTTGGATGGAAGACTACTTTGCTCTGTAGACTTCCCCCAAACCATAACTGAAAAAGGGACTCTTAAGGTACACATTTCTCTCGAATACTTGGCTGCCATAAGTCCTAGCTGACAACTAGCTTGGTTCTGGGTCCCAACATGTTAAACACAAATTATGGTTATAGATGAACTTCTAGATAAAATTTTAAATGTTCTTATTTCCTCTCACAAAATTCTCTTTCTGTTCAACAACAACAAAACCCCCCAAACGACCATGCTTATTGTGAATGAATAAAATGATGGGGGGAGGCATTCGGAGATGGGGGAAGAGCAGGCCAGGACACCCTAGTAGCAAAACAGGGCCAAAGTGGCTTTAGAATAACAGCTGAGTAACTATATCCAAGAGTACGGCTGAGATTTAGATAAAATTTAGTTAAGTCAAGGAGCTGGGGTATGAAAGGGAAAAATCTATAGACTCTGACCATTTTGCGATCAACTAATTGATTTTCATAAATCACAGTAATTACAAACTGAAACGCAAAGAGACTATGATCGCAGCACTTATTCCTCAACATAAATCCACTAACTGGAAATCCACTTCCTCTCAATTTATTCCACTGCTCTGAGCCTCAGTGTGCTCCTGCACAAAACGGGGATAACAGTACCTACTTCATGGGGTTGTGTACGAACTGAATGGTAATGGATGGAAAGTAGCACAGAAGCTGATGCACAGTAGATGATCAAGAACTAACAGGGTTTCTAATGCACAGTTAAGTTTTAGTGCCTCTCATTACTTCCGACTTCCCGGCAGCTATCGCGGCGTCTGAGGATGGAAAAATTGTCTCTGCAAATACTCAACATGCAAAGACTTCCTTTAGACAACCAAGCTGCAGCTCAAGGCGCTTCAAACTGCAAACTGTCGAAGCCGGGAAACGATGGCCACACAGCCGAGGTTGCTCAAGCGCAGCTGTCACCAACCCCGTGGTCCTTCCACGAGTTCCCTGACTCTGGCGCCCAGCCCCGCCCTGAGATGCCAACCAGCAGGGTGAGGGGGCGGACTCGGCCGCTGGTTATCGGAGCTGCCGCGAGGCCAGGGCAGCCCCGCAGTCCGACTCCCGGACCTGCCCGTGCCTCCGCCTTCAGTCTTCCCTCCCAGCCCCGCGCCTCCTGGGGCCGCACCTTGAGGTGGGTGCGCAGGCCGCCAGCGCCCACAGACTGGTCGGTGATCTCGTACGCGCCCGTCACCAGCAGGTCCTTGTGGATCTCTTCGCGGAGGCACTTGCGGGAATTCAGAGGCAGATGGAAGGAGATGGTGAGGACCGAACTGGGGCCGAGCAGGAGCAAAAGTAATAACGCCAACGGGCAAGGGCCACGCTGGGATAGTAGGCCGGACAAACCAGACATGGTGCCGAAGACTCCTTCACAATCTCGGGGCCGCAGCCGCGCCGGAACCGGGAAGATCCATGTGACTCACCTCTGACCGCCGAGGCCGCCGGCGCCATTTTGGAGACTGGCAAACAAAAGCGGGGCATACTGAGGCTCTTTTGGAAGTCAAGATAGGCTATCACAACACTTCAGAGTGACAAGTTGATGTGGCTAAAGGAAATTTAGTAGAAGCTAGCCATAAAGGTTTGATTTTTGTGGAATTCAGCGATTTCCGACTCGGCCATAGCAAGTAAGGGCAGCCCTGGAAGTAATTCTCCTTTAACATCCGGAAACTGCACCGGCGCGCAGTAAGGTCGATGATTCCATAGCAACCAAGCTCCAATAAGAAACAGCCACAAGGCCCTTCGTGCTCCCTCCCACTGGCCGCCTAGAAACGCGGCTTGCAGACCCTGTTTTAGGGAGGCATTGCTTCCCAACCTTTTGCAGCTGCACGCGAGTTTCTCGACACTGGTGACAATTGGGCTATTGGGACGCTTGAGAGGACTGAGAGACAGGAGAAATATCCTAATTTGGTAACCTGATGAACGTGTATTGGGCAGATGACCATGCACAGTTCTCACCCCGAGCGAGGTGTTTGGCATCATGAATGTACATTTTAATTTATTTAGCCAACACTTGGCGCTTACTTTCCCAAGCTATGCTGGTGTTTGGTGCCTTTTTTTCCTTTTCTCTTTCACGACTCATATTGACCTAGAGCAAAACCCTGGACCATTCTCGCAATCTGTTGTTGGCAGCCACTGTGTCAGTCTATGTCCTTGAGGGTCTTCCTATCTTTCGGTGACCCTCTGAACTTCCAATCGTAATTCTCCAAGGACTGGGCCCTCCTGATAAGATGGCCAAAGAATGTAACAAATCTCACCCTCCTTGCTTCTCAGAAGTGCTCTGGCAGCACTTCTTGCAAAGCAGATCTCTTCTTTGGACGACAGTCCATGGATATATTGAGTTTCTTCCACATTCCCACCTCACTCCCCCCCCACACACACACTCCCCCACCCCGATTAAAAGGTACCAGTTTTTCGGTCTTCCTTGTTTGTTGTCCACCTTTTACATGCATGTTGTTGTTGTGTGCCGACATGTCGGAACCGATCCATAGCTGCCCCTCTGGCGCGTTTTTCAGATGCAGTTAATCCCATGGGAGGAGGTTGCTCATCTAATGTGGCTTCATTCAGGTGCATCTTCATCTTTAAAGTTACATCCTTGCTCTTGAGCACCTTGGTTTTGACAGGAGATTTTGCCCAATAGAATATGTTGTTTGATTCTTGACTTGCTTGCATGGCCGTTGTTCATGGAACCAAGTAAAATAATAGTATTGACAACTTCAGTCTTTTCTACATTATTATGCTCTCTCTATTTGTCAAATTTCAAACTGAATTTGAATTTTGCATTTAAATGGATTAAAACACTGTGTTCTTGTCCAGTCTTGAGAGAAGATGATAATGCAACTATACTAGATGTGCTTTGTCAGGTATTTTGTGAGCTTTCAAAGCACACAACACTTAAGGTATCAAGTTGGCTAGTTTATAGGGAACAAATGCACAGAGCCACCACTGGTGCATACATTCAAGAAATATTTATTGAGTACTTACTCTCTGCTAGACACTAAACCCTGCATGCGTACCAAACATATTTATTGATTTTACAAACTCTCCTTGGGATGCTTTCAAATATCCAGAGCAGAAGATGATGGTTAGACTGAAAGGGAATACACACAGCCCAAGTTTCCAATCAGTGCGTACTGGGATTTGTATGTATTCAGCATCTTCAGAAATACCCAGAAGATGAACTGTCTGAAGTAATTTAAATGATTGTTTTGTATTTATAGCTCCTGTCAGTCCATCTGTTTTGTTTACTGGAATTAAAATCCCACAATGCAAGAACACACTTAAAGAGCTGTATGACATTTTAAAATTTTACAAATGTCATAAAATAATTATTTTATGAGATGTACACTTAGGAATAGAAACAGTTAGTTTGCTTATTTATCCCTGGTCTAAGAATGTCTCCTCTTTCTGTCTCTCAAGGTCCTTTCCAGCATCTCAATTCTCCAGCTGTCACCAAGCTGCCTAGTTCTGAGCAGTGCAGCCTCAGCACAGGTCTCTGCTCCACACACCGAAAAGAAGATTGCTGGCCTGCTCACTAAATAAAAAAAGGGAAAATCACCACCACAACAACAAACAAAAAGACCCCCACATGTGTCTATAACTCAGTCTCAACTTCTAGCATCTACTCAGCACATCCTGGTAATTTGGATTGGCCCTGTCAAAGCTAGGAATCTACAGAAGAAATTATCTAATTTATTGTTGTTCTCAGTCCCAACATTCTTCTGACCATTAGTGATTTGAAGCTTGTAAGGTCTTTGTAATTATATAAATGACATTTATAGTATTATATAATTACGTTATAGAACTATTGTTGTTAGGTGCCGCCAAGTAGAGTGTGACCCTTAATGTCCTTATAAACAACAGTACTGAACCCTGTCCTAATCTGCATCATCCTCACACTTCCTGAAACACTAGAGCCCGTCGTGACAGTCATTGTGCCAATGCACCTGGTTGAGGGTCTTCCTGTCCTTTGCCCACCTTCTGCCTTTCCAAGCATCATGTCCCTCTCCAAAGAATAGCACCTCCTAGCAACATGCCCGAAGTATTTGGGATGAAGTTTTATCATATTTGCCTCCAAAAAGCGCTCTGGCTGCACTTTCTCCAAGACATACTTCATTGTTCTTTTGGCAGTCCGTACTATGTTCGGTACTCTTCTCCAACACCAAAGCTCAAAGGCATCAACTCTTTTACTGCCATCCCTATTCATTGTCCAGCTTTTGGATGCATAGCAAATGATTAGAAAGACTATGGTCTGAATGAGATGTACCTTAATCCTCAAACTGATGTCATTACTCCTCAACAATTTGGAGATGTGCCTAACTGCAGACTTTCCCAGTGCAATACGTCTCCTGGTCTCCTGACTACTGGTTCCTAGGGGGTTGATTGTGGATCTAAGTAAGATGACATTTACAGAATACACTAAGTTTTAAAATATTTTCACTTCTTTCTTTTGAAATTTTCAAAAACTATGTGGAATAGGCTAGACAAGTTTGTTTTACAGAGAAGGAAGCTGAGTTCTAAGAATCTAAAGAACTTTTGTTCCCAAAGTCCTGTAGTTTCAGAGTGACAAAGCTGTGTGAGGTCCTGAGACTTTGCAGGAAAGAACTATTCCTGCTTTTTTTTTTTTAATGTTTTTGCTTATTTGACAGATAAAGAAACTAAGAATCAGAGAAGTTGAGTTACTTTCTGGTTTTGGGTTTCAAAACAACATCGTGAGTTATGTTGTTGTTAGGTGTTGTCAAGTCAGAACCAACTCATTGCTGGCTCTTCAGCTGGTTTTCAGAAGAGGTAAATCACACCAGAAAAGATGGCCCATCTTTCTTCTGTGGAGCAGCTCGTAGATTCAAACCACACACTTTAAGGTGGCAGCACAACTCCTTATCGCTAGGCCACCCTCTTGCCCTATAGTCTCAAGTTTCAACACTTCCTGTCACCCTTTCTTATATGTCTTTATATTTTTCTGCTTTGTGTTCATTACTCTTACTGTAACTGGTTTTATGAATAAAATATTTTATAAAATACCCGTTACTTATCATCTTTATTAATCTGTCTCCTAACTAGCATGTCCATTTTGTAAGGGGAGGAATTTTGGCTATTTTGTTGCCTGCTTTATCTCCAGTAGTTAAAATAGTCTCTGACACTTAGTTGTTATTGTGTATCGTCGAGACAGAACCAACCCATACCTGAACCCTCCCACAGATTTTCAGAAGCAGTTAATTGAATGTTAGGCTCTTGTCCATCCTTCTCTCAGTATTTAGTAGGCTTAATAAATGCTGGTTCACCTTATTCACTGTTGGTGGGAGTGTGAAATGGTGCAACCACTGTGGAAAGTAATGTGGCGCTTTCTCAAAAAGTTGCAAATAGAGATACCATTTGACCGAGGAATTCCACTACTGGGAATATACCCTAAAGAGACCATAAATGGCACCCAAGTAGATATATGCATACCCATGTTTATTGCGGCTTTGTTTACAATAGCAAGGAGTTGGAAACAACCCAAATGCCCATCAA